CTCCCCTCCCCCTCCTTCCAAACTCATCCTTACGCCAGTAACTCACGTTTATTCTGTCTGTCTTGTGTGTCTGCTCTTCAAGCCCCCGCGCACAAACTGGGGAACCCCCCTCCCCGACCTCTGCGCTTTATAATCGTGTTCTTTCACAGAATCGATCTGCCAATAATATTTGCTACTCTGATTACGGCAACATGGTATCCTGTAATGGGAAATACAGTAATTATGGGAAGTATCGATTCTATGATTGATGGCGATTTTAAAGAGGGCCAAAAACGGGTAGACCCTCACGAACGAGAGAGCCGATGGTTGGAGGGCGCCACTGTTGATAGGCTGTTCATCTTCTTTTCTTTTCCCTTGTCAGTTTTGTATGTCTTCGTTTTCTTTCCAGTAACTCTTCTTGTAGTGAGTTTTATGGCACTTGCTACACGATAAGGTCACATAGATGCCGAAGATTAGAGGTGCTACAAGATGGTAACAAACACAAAACAGAAAGAGGGGAAATAAGGACGATAGATGTTTGATAAGAAAGAAGGAGCAAAGCACCCGCCAACCACCCACGTCTTATCTTGGGAAGTCGTATGACCTAATTGTGTTGCAAGTACCGTAAAAGTTTCTAAACTTGAAACTGAGCAGATACATTAGCAACTGGTCGTAAACTGCAAAAACACATAAACTCAACTGGGTAGGTGGTTGGCGGGTGCTCTGGTGTGGTTTGCTTCTTCTTTCCAATCAAACGTCTAACGTCTTTACCTCCTCTCCTTTTTTGTGTTTGTTACTCTCTTGTAACACCTAATCTTCGGCACTTATATGACCTTATTGTGTTGCAAGTGCCGTAAAACACTTACTAAAACTTAACTAAGCTCTACTGGCCGGCATTTCTGTTCCGTGTCCTTTCTCTGTGACTGCAGCGAGAGCAGCACTGCAATGGGTACTGGCGTGTGTGCAGTGGTACGCTTGGCGTCGACTAACTATAGTGTTTGCCGGAGCTACGCTTTACACGGGTTTTTATCTCTGCGGGATGCATAATTATCATAGCTGCTTCCAGCCAGTTCCTTAAAAAATGACAGACCATTATGTAATATATATCTGAGGGTCTGAATGCAGTGAATATAATATGGAGAATGGAAGTCCGTATTTGTATTGGAAAGAACGTGTTCCCAGCGCTGGTGGATGGAGGGCGATACTGTTAGGTCCTACTTTTTTATTTTCCCTCTGTTGTTTCTCATCTACCCGTCTTACTTTTTCCCAGTACCAAACGTCCATTATTGTGTCAATGTAGTTCTTTTTACTTTTACTCAAACAAAAAAACATCTTTAGTAAAACCTCTTAATGTTCGGCACTTATGTTACGACCTATTTTGCGGGTGGATGGAGGGCACCTCTGGTAGACCGTGACTTCTTTACTTTCACTCTGCTGTTTCTATTATGTATGTCTTACCTTTTTTTGAGTAGTGAGTGGTTGGCGGGCGCCACTGGTAGGGCCTACGTCTTTACTTTCACTCTGTTGTTTCTATTCTGTATGTGTTACCTTTTTTTTTTAGTAATGGGTGGTTGGCGGGCGCCACTGGTAGGGCCTACGTCTTTACTTTCACTCTGTTGTTTCTATTCTGTATGTGTTACCTTTTTTTTTTAGTAATGGGTGGTTGGCGGGCGCCACTGGTAGGGCCTACGTCTTTACTTTGCCTCCTTTGTGTTTGTCTTGTCTTGTCTTTCTCTTTCCCAGCACTAACTGACCATGATTGTGTCGATGCGCTTTTCTTTACTCAAACAAACATGCGCGGTGGGTGGTTGGCGGGTGCTCTGGTGTGGTTTGTTCCTTCTTTCCTATCAAACATCTATCGTCCGCATCTTTCTTCATTCTTTTCCTGTTTGTTACTCTCATGTAACATCTCTAATCTTCGGCACGTATATGACCTTATTGTGTTGCAAGTGCCGTAAAACCCTTACTAAAACTAAAAAACTCATCTTTCTTCATTCTTTTCCTGTTTGTTACTCTCATGTAACACTTTTAATCTTCGGCATTTGTATGACCTTATTGTGTTGCGAGTGCCGTTAAACTCCTATGAAAACTAAACTAAATGTGACGTGTGCCGTAATCCAGCTCCAAAATAATAATATACATTTTTTAATGATTCAAAACAAAATATTGATCTGCCGGGTTATGTTTTGTAGGTTTGTTGTTATTTGTTTATTTGATTGATCGATTGATTGTTCATGGGTGGTTGGCGGGTGCTCTGGTGTGGTTTGCTTCGTCTTTACTATGAAATATCTATCGTCCTTATATCACCCTTCTTCTTTTTTATGTTTTGTTACTCTCTTGTTGTAACACCTCTTATCTTCTGGCGCTCATGTGACCTTATGCAGTTGCGAGCGCCGTAACACCTCTACTGAAACTAAACTAAAAAGATTGAATGTTCATTGGGGTTTTGGGGTGGGTTTTTTGTCTTTGTTGTTTTGTGTTGTTGTTGTTTTTTTGGGGGGGTGTTTTGTTTTTGTTGGGTTTTTAAAATATTTTAATGGGTTTTTTGGGGTTTTTTGTTGTTTGGTTGTTTGTTTGTTGTTGTTG